CCCGGCCCGTTTCTGGTGTCACAGCCCCAGTTGGTCTCCCAGCAGGACTGGATTCCGAGAAGGTAGCTGCTCTGATTCAGAAACTGAACTCCGACCCCCAGTTCCTTCTGGCGCAGAATGTGGGGACCACGCACGACCTGCTGGACCTGTGCCTGCGGCGCGCCACGGTGCAGGGCGTGCAGCACGTGTTCCAGCACGCGGTGCCGCAGGAGGGCAAGCCCGTCACCAACCAGAAGGGCTCAGGTGAGCCGGCGCCTGGGCGGCCCCTGGGCGGACGGCCTGGGGAGCCCAGGTCTGGGCTCAAGGCTGTGCTAGTAAATCCCCGGAGGACAGGGCCGGGGAGAGGCGGGCTCCGGTATACGTTACCCTGTGGTTGGTTTTGGTGCGCTGTGGCTACTGTTAGCATATTTTATTTGAGCGCTCCAGTGACGAGTCCACGGTCATGTTTGAATGTCATTCAGGGGACCCTGTGCTGAAGTTAAGTGATTGCACCCCCGTGTCCTGGGCAGAGACACGCCCTTGGTGCAAAACAGACCGCGCGCAAATGTTCATTCCCTAGAGCTCTCCCCCCAAGTTGCGCTGAAGGCCATAGACAGGCGTATAAAACGGAAAAGGCACAATGTAGCCAGTCTGCGTGTCATCGAATGTTATTTTCGAACGTGCTTGGTGGTCGACACTTTAGGAAATGTTGCCTCAGTTGCCACCGTTAGACCAGTTTGTAACCCAGAAAAATATTCAGTTGTCAGGTCTTGCTGATCAAGACCTCTCGTTTTCCTGTTTGCTCTCTAGCACTACGGTCAGCTACCGTGGAAGGAATCTAAATGAGGAGGACATTCTCACAAGAAATTTGTACTAAATGGATTTTTTTAAAGTCTATCCATTTTAAAACTACTCCCAGTCTGTGTATTTTGACAGGCAGCGGATCAGTGCTTGCTTAGAGGCAGGCAGAACTCACACTGTACGTTTAACGTGGGTATATTTTACTATATGTGAATTATATCTCAGCAAAGTTGATTTTTAAATTTTAAGGGAAGGAAATCATGACCTTGCAATAATTAATATTTTGCTGCAGTAGAAAGTGTATGGTGTGGGGTGGTGGTTTGGACTATCAAGCTATACATTATATAGTTAGAAATGTTACAGCAGCCCTACGTAATTTAGATTGTGGTGACCTCTTAGAGAAAAGCCTGGAAATATTCATTTGGAAAAGATCAAGTCTCATATATTCTGTAGTGTCACTTTTATTTACAAAAGGTACAAATAACACAAGAGCAATGTAGTTTATTTTCATGTTCTTTTACCTTAACAGTTCATGTAGGTTCCTGCTAATGGGAAATGATGATATAGTAGATAAGAGAGAGGTGGGATACAGATAAACCCAAGGTAAAGATGAGGTATACTAAGTCATTAATGACTTTCAAAAAGCACTGTAGTTACTTACTTTTAATTGTTTTCCTTTTGTTACAAAATTACTATAGTTCAATGGAGAATATTTGCAAAATAACAACAAGTAAACATTTTTTTCTGTCAAGCCTTTATTCTGTGTGTGTGTGTGTATGTGATTGAAATATGGGTGGATTTCTTAAATATTGTTAGATAACCTACCCACCCTTTTCACTTACCAATATATTGCGAACGTATTTTCATATTAGTAAAAGTTATGCCCAAATAAAAGTCATTTTTTCCCCTCTGAATTTTTCTTCAGAAAGGAGAGTTATTCTGTATTTGAGACCTTACAAAGACTCTCATAATGAGCACTCTCAGTTATTTTAAAGTGCAGTTCGACAAAAGACATTACTCTGAAATGACCTCAATTCGTGCTAGTTTTAGATGCTTTTAGAGAGCAGTTGATTAAATCAGTTTTTAAAAAGGCGAAAAAAATTGAACATGATCTATTCCTGGATATCGTAAATAGGCCCTCTAAAATAAAGATCGCTTAAGTCAGAACAGGAAATGGCGACATTGCCAAGTTTGTGATTATCCACTTACAGAACAAATGAAGAAGGTAATTGTATAGTTGAGGCATGGCGTGAAATGTTCAGGGACAGCATCATGAATTGATTCAAAACATTGCTGTGACCCAGGCATACTAGATGGAAGAAAAATGATGTGTTCTTATTGGAAGAGTGGATCTAATCATGGCAAAGGCTCTGATGCCAAGATGCATGTGAAGAATAATTTTAATTCTTATTGAGAGAAGGAGAATTGACTTGTGTTAGGGTTACCTTTTATTGAAGCATACACTGCATATTCCAGATTAAAGGGTAGGGTCTTTTTAAAGTTTTACCATGTATGGCCAGATTGTCGTCAGATATTTAGTACTTGTTTAGATTGTTATCCAGGGTGTATCATGATGCTATTTCCCCAAGTCCTTGCCAGTATTGGGCATTATAAATTTAAAAATGTTTCCCCACTTAATAGGTGTCTTATAACAAAGTTAAAGAAACCCTTGTTCTTCACCACTTGTATCTTTTTGGACATGATCAATTTGTGATCTCCACTCATGTTTCTCTATCAGTATTTCAGTTTCTCTATCACTATTTCAAAAGTGATTTTCTTAGGTGGTTTGTAATGGATTCTTTATGTGATATATAAAGAGGGTTTTTTTTATATGTTAAGAATATTATACCTTTGCATATATATAGTACAAATAGTAATTACTTGTTTTGTTTTGTTTTGTTTTAATATTTCCACTCTTTCTGATTTAGTCAAATTTTCCAACAGCTTGTCATGGGTTCATTGTTGGCAAATGGAATGTAATCTATGTGAACACTCATCGTAATGTCTTGGTTTGCTTTCTCGTTGCAGGGCGATGCTGGATCTTTTCTTGTCTGAACGTTATGAGACTTCCACTCATGAAAAAATTAAATATTGAAGAATTTGAGTTTAGTCAGTCTTATCTCTTTTTCTGGGACAAGGTATGGAACTGATTTTGAAAGATTCTTTTTGTTTCACTATCAATCTTAGGGGAGAGACTCTCTCTTCATTTCTTGCTTTTCAAGTTGTAGTCCTGCTTTCATTTATAGGTGTGACACCACCCTTCTCTGGGTAGTACTTGACTAAAAACAGTAAATAATTTTATTCACTATTTTAAATCTTTAAAACGTCTACTAAGTGTGTCCATTAGATGTTTAGTGATTGAAGGCTCTAAATATCAGATTTTATTTCAAAATAAAGCAATGCTTTGTTTTGGATACACTGTCTGAATGTGTACACATAGATATAAGAAGAAATATTTTTATAAGCCCAGATACTGATATTTAGTTGCCTACTTTAGTTTAAAGATACCTACTGTGTACACCTGAGACTAATACAATGTTATCAATTATGCTTCAATTAAAAAAAAAAGCCAAAAAGACCCCACCTGAAACTAACGTCAATTATACTGTACTCAAAAAAAACCAAAAACTACTATGTTGGGTCTACAGTACTTCCAAGACTCCTATTCTGTTGATAATGTGAATAAAAGTATTAGCTATCTTTTCCTTTAACTTTATTTAACTTCTCCAGGTTGAACGCTGTTACTTCTTCTTAAATGCTTTTGTGGACACAGCCCAGAAAAAGGAACCTGAGGATGGTAGGCTGGTGCAGTATTTGCTCTCGAATCCTGCAAATGATGGTGGACAGTGGGATATGCTTGTCAATATTGTTGGTAAGCGTCTTTCTCTAATGGAAGTGAAACACAGCGTGATTAAGCAAGGCTCTGTAGTTAGGCATAAGCCATTTCTTTGTTGGTTATGTACAGAGTAGAATTGGTCTCCCAGAAAGGTATATAATTAGCTCTAAGAACTTTTATCTCACAATTTCACCTATAAAGTAGCTTTTTTAAAATCCTCACCTGAGGATATATTTTTATTGATTTTTAGAGAGAAAGGAAGGGAGAGAGAAACATTGATCGGTTGTCTCCTATGCACGCCCTGACCAACCCAGGGTCAAACCTGAAACCTGGGAATGTGCTCTGACTGGGAATGGAACCCCCAATCTTTTGGTGTATGGAACAATCCTCCAGCCAACTGAACCACCCAGCCAGGAATGGTAAGGAGATAGGTACTGTGAAAGGTGGTTTGGAGAAGAAAAAGTTATATTAACTAGAACTAACTTTCTGTGAAAAAGCTTATTTCTTGTTCATTGGTGTAATCAAGAAACACATTAAATGTCCTCATTCTAAAAAGGGTTGTCTTTGGAGAAAACCTTTTTATGCTGAGCACTTTACAAAGTTTGACAGATAAAAAGAGCAGAGTAAATTCTAAGATAGATGGATAAATATGCAGATTAAATAACCTGTTTAATTTTATAAAGCATAAGATTCTTAAGTTTTCTGAATTGGACCCAACGAAATATAGCCTAGTTTTTAAAGCAATGGTTATTTTTGCCAGGGTTTCTAATGTTAGAGTGCTGGAGTTTATTTTTACCTTATTAAACACTAAAATTCATTTTCTTTTAGAAAAATATGGTGTTATTCCTAAGAAGTGCTTCCCTGAATCCCATACAACAGAGGCAACCAGAAGGATGAATGATATTCTGAATCACAAGGTACAACATATGGAGTAGGATAGAGTTGAATTTGCTGTACTTACCTTAAAACTCCTGACTTTCCAAGGGGATTTCTGGGCATTTCATTGTTCAGTGTATGTACCAGATAGCTAACCAGTATCTCTCAAAAGCAATGCAGTCACATTTTAACTTTAAAAATAATTGAGATTAGGGTGTGTTTTTTCTTTTTTAAAATCTTCCACTTTTATTTCTATTGATTTTAATATTTTCATCTGGGTACTCAGGAAAGAAAGTCCTGTGTTCAATTAATATGGGCCAGAAGCACACTGGGTACTGTGCCTCTCACTTGGCTCTAGTGGAGGTGGGCTGGGACAGCTTTATGTACTAGTAGAACCAAAAAGAACTATTTGTGAGACTTCCTTAAAGAGTATACTGAGTACAGAGGGTTCCCCAAACCACATCAGTGTAGTTTATTCATGCACTAAAGATTTGATGTAGTCACTGAACTGCTTTTTATTGCTTCATTTATCTTAATAAATCATTCTCTTCTCCACGCAACCCATTTCCCAAGGAGGATTATAAATCCTCCTTGGGTTGCTTCTTTGCCAACCAGACATCTTTGAGAACTGGGAGTTACCAGAATGTGCTGTCGTGATCTATAAGGCTAAATTGCATTTGTCATCCCTGGGAGGAAGATTACATTTTAAAATAAACTATAGATGTGTTTCCCCAATATTAGAAGTAGGTTATTTTCCACCCAGCAAACGCTATGGATTCTTATCTACAGGCTGAAAGATCATTAGTAGTATAGATTGGGTTCCATTTCAGATGAGAGCAAAATCCTCTTTAGCATTGTCTTTGGCATCTCTAGAAGCTGAAAACTATATTGGAGGTTGTCATAACTATGGTCATAATGATTTGGCAGAGAAGTAGACAACCAGTAAAATTATAAATAAAAACCTGAGAGTGACTTAATGGCATAATTGTCTTAAGTCTCTTGCTTTTTCTAAGGGAAGTAGACTGGTCGGAGAAAAACTCATTTGCTTTTATGAACTTTGCTCTGGGTCTTGCCTGAGATATACTTCAAAATAGAACTAGCGTTGGTCTGTTAGGCTCATTTACAGTTGACTTTGGGTACTGAATAACTTTCTGTCATAGATGAGAGAATTCTGTATACGACTACGGAACCTCGTACACAGTGGAGCAACCAAAGGAGAAATCTCAGCCACACAGGATGCCATGATGGAGGAGGTAATAATTATTTGGATTTTTTTGTGGCCCTTCTAAAGAACTCTCAGAATATTCCCATATGTTAAACTGATTAGGAACTATAGTCATTGCAATAAATGTTGAATTGAATTGAAATTTACTTATTGTATAGCTGTAAAAACTGAGGTATAAACTTTGCATTTAGTATGGGACTTGTATGTACTTCCATCTTCTTATTACCAGCTTAGTAGTCTATACAATTCTTTTATTCATTTCATAAATATTGGATACCTTCTGTGAATTTGACACTGGGGACACAAAGATGAGAAAGACAATCTCTACTCTCAAGGAGTTCAGTCTCTTGGGGAAAAGAAACACATGCATAATTATAACTCCTATGCTCGAGGCGTGTGAGAAAGGACTTGGTGGTCATAGAGGAGGGAGTGACTCAGTCAGCTGAACCAGCTCTTGAAAGAACGGTAGGAATTTACCAGATGGATAATAGAGAAGACCATCCTGGACAAAAGGAATATCATGAACAAAGGTGGAATTCTCAGAGAATAGTGTAGCTGAGACATAAATGTTGTGAGTGTGATTGGTAGCAAGTTAAACTAGAAGGGCAGAGCTCTGAGGGATCTTAGGAGATACCAAGGCTTTTGGCTTTATTCTGTAGGATTAAAGATGAGAATAACTTACGTATAACAGCATGTTGATGGTTATATCAGAACACATTTTGGAAAACCTAAAAAGCTTAAACAAATATAAGGTGGTTATATTTATGGTCAAGGCAGTTAAGAATATTACTTCGGCCCTGGCCGGTGTGGCTCAGGTGGTTGCAGCCTTGTTGCATACACCGAAAGGTGGCCGGTTTGATTCCCAGTTGGGGCATGTGCCCAGGTTGCTGGTTCAGTTCCCAGCCTGGGATGTATGGGAGGCACCCAGTGGATGTTTCTCTGTAGCGCTGATGTTCCTCTCTTTCTCTGTCTCTCTGTCTCTCCCTCCTCTCCCTTCTCTAGCAAATCAATAAGCATGTCCTTGGGTGAGGGTTAAAAAAGAAGAATATCACTTAATGTCATCCATAACCCAGTTGGATATCTGTAAACCTCTGACATTGCTTTGAGAAAAGAATAAACATCCCCCTTTTTCATCTAGTGGACCCATTACTAGGAATCACTCAACTAACAGTTTTCTTTCACCACAGTGGACAGCGCTCATGTTTTCCTTTGAATTTTAGAGAGGAAGTCTAGTGCATTTGAAAGCATGGTCTGGAGTCAGACTGAATTATGATATTGTTATTATTTAATAGCCTTGTGACCTGGGTCAGGTTCCTTAGGCTCTCAAGTTTCAGTTTATTCAAATGCATAGCCCGTGCTTAACACAATAACTGTTTCTTAAGTGTTTGTTGAATGGATGAATGCAGAGATTTTGTTTTGCCAAATGCATTTAAATTATCTCATACTTTTTCTTTACTTCATAAATATTATTTAAGAGAGGTATCTGGGTATAGTAGAAAAAAATAGATGGGCATGGACTTAAAGTCCAACTCTATCACTTAATAGCTCTGTGATCTTGGGTAAGATACTTAACCTGTCTGAGATTCACTTTGAGACTTAAAATATATTCCTCATTGGATTTTTGTGGGAATCAAATAAGAAATTAAGTATAAGAATGCAAGCGTAGTGCTTGGCACATTGTAGTTGTTCAGTAAATGTTAGTTCTATCTCGTGCTTAGAGTGATTTCTCTTGTTGAGGCCTTATCTCTTGCATAATTTGCTTTCATTCATGATTATAGGAAAATGGTGGGGTGTAGTAAGAATGAAGTTTCTATAAGCAGTTATAGCAAAGGACCCAGATAATACTTCTTGCAGATCATAAGCATCCTGTTGGCTTTTGATGTTTGCTTTAAGATCTTTTAAAGGATGTATCTAAGATCCACTCCTGACCATGGGGCTGATTGGCTGATAAGAATCAGGGCAGATGTGTTTCACTGTCTTACCTGCCCTACTCCGACCTTGGAAAAATAGTAAGACATCATTATACCAAGTCCTGAGGATGGATGCTTTTAGAATGATTTACTTAATGATTCTGCCTAAACTGTTGACTACAGAATTCTGTGTGGTAGATTTTTAAATTTTACAGTCTCCCAAATGACTCTTCTTTATTGAACCTGACTCTTTGGTAATGAGAGGTGTAGCTATGATTTTAAAGCCACAGATTAGTACCTTTGATATGTTTAGCCTTGTAGGTGTATCAAAATGATGACTTATCAACAGTCATGAAGCTTAGAAAGCTTTGAATGAAAGGGGTTTATGCTTAAGGCATTGTTCCTGAGAGAAGAGAAGTACAGGTTGCTTGGTGAGACGACAGACAAGTTGGATCTGTTTTGGAAACATGTTGTCACCTCTGTTGCAATGTTTTATCAATGCGTCTACTCTTTCTTAGCCCCAAGATCCCCTTGGGTTATTGATGTATTCTCTACCAAAACACTGTTAAAAACAAAACATAAAACAAAGACTAGCAAGAATATCTGTCAGTGCCATGAAGAGAGACAAGAAGCCATTATTATTTGCTTAGGAAATTCTATAGCAGTTGCTCTCAGCTCTTAAAAACAATAGATAGTCCTAGACTTGCTCCAGACCTACAAAATTGATTTTCCTGAGAGAAACCTAGTTATCTCTATTTTTATTTTTTATTTTAAAGACTTCTTTGATTTAAAAAAAGTTTTAACATCAAAAATATAAAAAGGCATACAATGAAAAGTCTGTTTCCCTCACTCTTCTCCATCCTTCAAGTTCCCACACCCCCCAAGTTAGTTTTATTGGTTTGTTACTATATTAGCAGTTGTTTATCCTTCCAGAGAAGGTCTTGTCAGAGGCCACCATGAAGAGGAGGAACATTGACTTTAAAATGCCTGATCCCAAGGCACAGTCCAATTGCAATTGGGTTTCAAGCATATGGACAATCCTTGAGCTCAGGAAAAAGAACGATCTAGCAACGTAATAGTGATGATAGTGCAGATAGCTGAAGCCTTGGGAATGATTAAAACCCCTGAGGGAGAAGAGAAGGATAGAATGGGTCTGAACAAAGAATTCTGGATAATATGTATTTCCAAAAACATCTATTCCTATAAAAGCAAGTGCGAGAACTAGGCCGTGATGTAGGTGCTGGTCATCAGTGTCAGATACTGCAGACTGGTCCATAGACATGTCTGAAGACTAAGAAAGGCTGCTGGATTTCCTGAATAGGGTTTTGTAGAATAGTGTCAGTAGAATGGAGAAGGGGAGGCGCTAGATGGAGAGGAGGGAGTCATGTCAAGAAAAGGAAGGTAGTTTTGAGAAGGTTGACAGTGGAGAGAAGGAAAAAGTTGATACTGATTAATTTCACAAGTGTTTATTCAGTACCTGCTAAGTGTTAAGCATGTTGCTATTTGCAGGTGACATGTCATATATAGAAAGCCTAACAACTCAATTGGAAAACTGTTAAAACTAGTAAGTGAGTTCGGTAAAGTTGCAGGATATAAAATCAGTAAGCAAAAATCTGTTGCATTTCTATACGCTATTAATAAACTATCAGAGAAATTAAGTAAACAATCCCATTTATAATTATATCAAAAAGAATAAAATACCTAGGAATAAATTCAACCAAGGAAGTGAAAGACATGTATATTGAAAGCTGCAAGACGTTAAAGAAAGAAACTGAAGAAGACACAGATAAATGGAAAGATATTTCATGCTCATGAACTGAAAGAATTAGTATTATTACAATGTCTGTATTGTCCAAAGTATATGCAGATTCAATGCAGTTCCTTTCAAAATTCCAGTTGTATTTTTCACAGAAATAGAACAAACTCCTAAAATTTGTATGGAACCATAAAAGACCCTGAATAGTCAAAAGCAGTCCTGAAAAAGAAGAAAGCTGGAGACATTACCCTCCCTGATTTCAAACTGCATTGCAAAACTGTAATGATTAAAATAAGGTGGTTTGGCATGAACAGACACGTAGAACAATGAAACAGAATAGAGAGCCCAGAAATAAATCTACATGTATATATGGTTAATTTACAACACAGGAGCCAGGAATATACAATATACAATGGGGAGGGGACAGTCTCTTCAATAAACAGTGTTGGGAACATTGGACAGCCACATGCAAAAGAATAACACTGGACCACTATTTCATATCGTACACAAAAAATGTATTAAAGACAGAAAGTAAGACCTGAAACCATAAAACTCCTAGAAGAAAACATAAAAGACCCTGAATAGTTAAAAGCAGTCCTGAAAAAGAAGAAAGCTGGAGACATTACCCTCCCTGATTTCAAACTGCATTGCAAAACTGTAGTAATTAAAATAAGGTGGTGATTTTTTAATCTGACATCAAAAGCAAAAGCAACAAAAGCAGAATAAACAAATGTGACTACATACAACTAAGAAGCTCTGCACAGCGAAGGAAACCATCAACAGATGAAAAGCCAGCTTACTGAATGGGAGAAAATATTTGCAAATCATATCTGATAAGGGGCTAATACCCAAAATATGTAAAGAATATACAACTTAATAGCAAAACAAAAATAAAACCAATCTGATTTTAAAATGGGCTGAAGATCTGAATAAGCATTTTTCCATATGGCCAACAGGTATATGAAAAGAAGTTCAATATCATTAATCATCAGGGAATTGCAAATCAAAACCACCATGAGGTATCACCTCACACCTGTTACAATAGCCACTCTCAAGAAGACTAGAAATAACAAGTGTCGATGAGGAAGTGGAGAAACGGGAGCCCTTATGCACTGTCGGTGGGAATGTAAATTGGTACAGCCACTGTGGAAAACACTATGGAGGGTCCTCAAAATTTAAAAATACAACTATGTGATCCAGCTATTCTACTTCTGTGTATTTACTTGAAGAAAATGAAAACATAATTCAAAAAGATATCTACATCCCCATGTTCATTGCAGCATGTGTTTACAATAACCAAGATATGGAAACAGCGCAAGTGTCCATTAATAGAAGGATGGATAGAGATGTGTGTGGGGTGTG